ACAGAGCTCGCCACACCGTCCCAAAGCCCTCGGGTTTTATCTCCCAAAATCATTGCCCCCAAATTCAGGAATGTTAACCAGCACTTGTAGAAACTCCGCTGTGTTAGTAAGACACATAGTTGTAGTGATAACGAGCTGTAAGAGCATGTGCCAACCCGCTGCAAAGTAACTTAGGATAGGGTTGTGCAATCTCTGTCCAATTCTGACCTCCTGGTCCCTTTCCGGTGAGATGGAAGTGGGGTTTGCCCGTAACACTGCAAATCGAACGTCCGGTGCACTGCAAATTGACACGGTGCAAACCTGACAACTCAATGTTTCCACAAACAAAACGCGTATGCTTCTTCCACGCGGTTCCAAAACGGCAAAAATCGGCATAAACAACTTGTATGTGGGGCTGAGAACATAGTTGTTGCCAGAAGGGGAGATGCCAACACTTTGAACTTGCCGGGTTCTCCAAGATCCACGGAATTCTGAAACGGTCCAGCATGCGAATCAAAGAAAAACATGTTCGAAAGCAAGCATTGCCCAACTGTATTTTCTCTTGTTCACTGGCTGTCAAAAAACAATCAGGCAATCCCCAAGGAAACTCTCGTGTACGAATCACTTTTGCGCGATCACGAGCCACTGAAAAACTGTTGCAAGGAGGCGCCATCATCACGGCTAGGACCTTCCCGGTCCGGATGCTGCACTTCAACTTGCGAACAACGCTACGACTTGTCAAGTCACATGTGTGCCCCAACCTAATGTCCCATTGCTTGCTCACAAAGCCTAACCTCTCACAGGCCAGTGCCACTCCTCCGCACCCGGAGAAAAGGTCTGCTACAAACTGCCCTTTCCCGTTCCGCCTAGGCGGCTGGAGTCGGGACACTTCTTTCTTCCAAGCATGATGTCGTCGAACGCCTCCTCGCAAGCCAGGGCGAAGTCCTTTGTCTTCTGCGGCACTTGCTCCCAGGTCCGAGCCAACCGGGCGGCTTTCTCGTACCTCACGCATGACTTTGAACTCTTCCACTGGCCTCTCTTCTGTACCTCGAGCTGCGACCTGTACTTTCGGCTTCTGTCGATGGAGGGGCCGCTGTGCCTCGTGTGATAAGGCTCCAGTGGCACCTCCATCTTCTTGGCAATCTTCTTTATCACTGCCAGGTACTGACTGTAGTCGAAGTCCCACAGGGCCGAGTTGCTGCTGGCCCTCTTCATGACCGTGAGGAACTTGCCAAGCCAACAATTCGTATAGGGAGAGTCTAACAGGACACTGACATCGTAGTCTCCAGTCTTTGAACTCTCCTACAACTCAAGCAAGCTCCAACTGCTGGTCACTCCTGGTGCCGGTTTGATCAAACTGAAGGTCCTCAGCCGCAACAACTCGGAGGGGCGACTGTAGGTGGACACTGCTAGCATCACAAAAACGGCCATCTTGGGAAAACCCATGTTGATCATCAGACATGCCACTGCACACCAAATGCTCAAAGGGTATGGAACTCGCGACCGTCCAGGGCAAAGTCTTCGCCAACCTTTCAGACACCTCAGGGCTCTGGGGATCTTCTTCACCCCAGTCTTGCTGAACTGTGGGTGATGGTGCAACCAACTGGCTATGAGGCGGTCTCCAACATAGCTGGTGTCCTGCCAAATAACAATTGTTCATGTACTGCACCATCAACCTGTCCACCCCCTCGGCATCTTTCGGGTCCAGTCCCCGACACACTGCATAGTCCTTGAAGGCCTGAAGCTCTTTCTGGTACATTTTCTCTGCGGCTGTTCCAATGGCTCTCTTCTCCAAAAGACTCAGCCCATCCTTGTCCTTGCCGTCCATGAGGAAGTCCACATATTTGCGCCTCCGGTGTCGGGCGCGACTGCGCAAGTTCTTCTTTCTCTTCTTGGTCATGTCGACCTCGCTGCTGCTGTCGGAACTGCTGGACACGGAGAGGTCGACTCCCAGGGTTTTGGTCTCCTCCCCTGGACTCTCCAGCGTGGGCAGTTTTCCCAGCACTCCCTTTGTTGTCAGGAGCTCGCTGGTCTCGACAGGCTTCAACAAGGCCTCCTTCTTGCTCGAACGACTCGGCGCAACAAGCTTTCCGGGCTTCAACACTCGCTCCACTCGGGCCGCCCTTGGAGGGACATCTCTCTCCGGGGCGGCTAGTCGTCTGGTTCTCTTCGGGGCCATAGGGGATCTCCGAGGTGAGCAGCTTGGAAGGTTCGTCCGTGCCAAAACGAGATGGTTCGTCTGAACTATTCAACTCACTAGGAATCCACCTGAAGCTGGGCTGTATACCTCTAGCTATGCAATAGGCATTGAAAACCCTCACCTGGCTCAGGAGCCCATACTGACGACTGCGGCTACGCTCGAGTGCTAAGGTCAGTGACATGTTGTCCAACAAGAAAAGCTGTCGTGTCTGCGAACCGTACCGGCTCATCGCAATCCGCTTCATCGCTTTCACGGCCGCCCGGGCCTCAAGGATAATGATGCCTTCGTTGAAGCGCCACTTTCCCCAAAGCTTTGGCTGCCACAATTGCTTCCTCAGCAGGCGGGCTGGAACCTCCTCAAAACTTTGGTCCAGTTTCCACCCGCTGAGGTTGAGATAATCTTCAGTTGAAAGATTGCCTGCCTTCCATGCACCTGTCAACTCATCACGAATGAACCCTGCTGAAGTTAAGGCTGACTCTCTAGCTGAATGATTGTCACAACGTTTAAAGCGGCTCCGTTCCTTCTGTCGACCAACCTTTCTGACATCCTCTAGCCTCCAATGTGATGTGCATACCCCATAGCCAGTAGTACTGGCGTCGCTGCAACACACCAAACTGTTCCAAGGGCGCCACCAGTCCGCTCGAAGAAAAATCATGAGTCCTGAAAAGGCTGTGAACTCACGACGCACTGCATCCCACATTGCCACCGGTTCAAAGTAGTGTGCTCTTATGAACTTGTAACAACTGTGGAAGATCGACATGAGCATACGGTTGTTCAATGCGCAAAAGGTTGCATGGCCCAAGACAACTTCAACCATCTGTCCCGTCACCTGCGGCTTTTGTAAAAGACCTCTGATGCTCTGTCTGACCTTGTGATACCTCTCTGGACAAATTCGGGAGCAAAGATTCTTGCCATCCAATATTGTCCCCAGTGCTTTCGTTTCTTCACTGTGGACCTCTCCTGGATGAAGAAGAAGTCCTTTGCCTCCAAAGTGACTGTCCAGCTCCTGGAGCGCCGACTGGACGACCCCCCGGTGAGGGGAAACAATGCCAAGGTTGTCGACATAGACGTAGTGCCTTGTTGTTGCTCTTGCATTGTCTCGGACTGCTGAGCTCTTGAATACCACCGGCAAACCCTTGTCTGTGATCAAAGTGGAGTCTCCTAATGACCTGGTCAAGGCACACGGATGCTCGTTGATCTGCTGGCAAAAATAAAGACTCCACGAGAACCCCATACAAAGACTACCCGGCATAGGATAAACAATGTCATTGCAGCCCAATGTAACCCCATCCAAACACTTCCCTGTCAAACCAACCCAGTGAGCCTTGATCGGCATAAAGCAAAAGTATTCTGCAAGCCACCGAGGTTGTTTGAGCCTGTGGAAGCAATCTTTGACATCGGACAAACCAACATGTAGCTCCATGGATTGAAGTTCCTGCAAAAACTCTGCACTGCCTGGCAACACACCTTCCGACACCTCACATTCGATGCGACTGAACCCTTCACTCGAACAAAGTTCAACACCTGGGGGCTCTTTAAACAATGCGTTGCTCGACCGTGCATCCACAATGAGTCGTATCTTCTGTTTGTCACTCTTGTGCACAAAGAAAACTCCAACATGGTTCTTGGGGTGTTGAGTGAACTGCAACATGCCAACACTGTTCAACTTTTCAATGAACTCTCTGTAATGCTTCTTGTTGTTCGCCAAAACAGGGTCCCAGTAAGGGCGGGGGGCATCATAAGCGCCCTCCTCCCTAAGCATGAGCTCTCTACCCAACAGATATCGACGGGCATTCTCCGGCAGAAGGTCACGAGCCTCCGGAAGGTTCTCCAAGCTGCTCGGGAGAGAAATGCGCTCGAGTTTGTAGGGAGCCAAAGCCACAGGGACTTCGGGTTGGTGATACTCCGACTTCCCTTTGAGCAGCTCTCGTAAGGCTGCCTCAGGTTTTGGAATCTGCTCCAAGGTGCCCAGCCGTCCTGCGTCCTGGGCTAGTTCATGAATTCGTTGTAAACCTCCAGCTGAATGCCATCTGGTTCAACATCTGTACCATGCAAAAAACTATCACATGCCAGCCAGTTCAAGCCGTCTACTGCCTCCTTCACCGTCTCATAGTGTCTCCACTTGCGATCCAAACGCTGTTGCGACCGACGGCTCCCGGCCACAGGCTTCTTCGGCAAAGTTGGAGAGGGCAAAGGAAACAAATCTCGACTCACTCTGGCTGGATCTGGGCGTTGTCCTCCCATAGCTGCCAGTCTGCTGGAGACCCCCCGAGAGGACATAGGGGGCCCCCCATCCGCCTGAGTCATGTGTCTTCCGGCGGAGCAAGCTGCTTCGCCTTGGCCTTGCGCTTGGCTTTGGCAGCTGGTCCGCCGGGAGGTAGGTTGCCGTCAGCCACGGCGGAGGCGGCAGCATCTTCTGTGGGGATCTGCAGCCGCTTGTGCTCTCTCATCTTCGTCCGGGCGGCTGCAATCTCAACTTCCTCCTTTCCTTTCTTGGCTGCCCAAGTGCGAAGGGAAGGAGAAACCAGATCCTCTGGACCTTGGTATCCCGACATGATCTTCGCCGCCCCCCAATCTGGAGAGGCGGAGGAGCCGCTGTTGTAGGCATCGACAATGCTCTGCACCCTGCGTCCCAAGGCCTCAAAACAGGCCAAACTGCCAAGGTTCAACTGGTCATAGCAGCCTGCCAATTCGAAGCTCTCCAACAAGGCACGCATTTCATGCATGACTCGATCATTGTCATGCACTCCTTTGTGTCGGGCCCAAATCAACAACCATTGCTTGGGGCTGCCACCATTCTTCAACATGTACTTCATCAAGTGGAGCACGGATTGGGGCCCCTCCAGGGGCCAGTCCGAGTAGGAATACTCGCTTGCCTCTTTTGTGGCCTCCCTCCATGACCGGTATCTCTCTCCTTGATCATCATAGCAAACACTCAGAGTCCTGGCGTCCTCTGAGACCTCAGCGTCTTCCTCACCTCCAGCCTCCTCCTTCTTGGCGCCAGTCTCCAGGCTCCTGCTAGGCACACCACGAAGCTCCAACCGACTGGGCACCAGCTTCTCTCGCTCTTCAACCATTGCGGGAACCTTCTCAACTTTGAGCAGCTTCATCAAGGTCCATCCCTTCTCATCAGGGATGGCTCCATGGTCGCTGTCCAACTGGATGCCCTTCTCCAAGCCTACGTTGGCCTCCTTCCCAAGGTCAAAGGCGGAGGTGTCATGCAAGGCGACCCACATGTGGCCCTCAGGGGCCGGTGCAAGTCCTGACCTAGGAAAGCCTGACACTGCCACTGGGGAGGGAATGGGTTCAGCGACATAGCCTCCATCTCGACGTCTCAACCTCCGGGGCACTATCAGGCGTCCCAGGTAAAGAGAAGCCTCCACCTCCTTGCCTTTCATGTCAATGACCTTGCGGGGTGTCCAACTCAGGGAGCCACTGCCTAACTCACCTAACTCGTTGAGGGCCTCCTCCACAAGCTCTCTGAACCGGTCGTCATCGGGGTAGGAACTAAAACGATACACTGGTTGGCTGATACGGGAGAAGTGACTAAAGTCTGTCTTCTTCAGTTTGAAGCTGATGGGACCCTCATCTGAATGGCCTGACCAGTCCTCTCTATAGAAGTCCCCGTCAGGGGTCAGCACAAACCACTCAGTGTCACCAGCCCTCCAAACCATAAGCCGCTCGTGATAAACTGAATCATCACTATACCACACGACCGCCAGCTGTCCGGGCGGGCAACTGGACAACACCTCCACCGCGTCGTCTCGGGCTCGCAAATGCGACATCGGCCGGAACCCAATCGACCTCCACAGCCTTTCGGGAAGACCGACCAAACAAAGCCCAACTGACCAACACGCCCAGTGCAAAGCCTAGTCCAATGTCCAGGGTCCTCTGCTCAGTTCCAGCGCAAAAACACTGACAAGAACAGGTCTGGTTGTAAAAGTGGTGACTGCTTTCAGGGTGCCTCGAATCGTGGGATCCACTCCTAAAGCTCAAATCCGCAAGCCGTGCGAGCCAAAGGAGCGCCACGTTCGAGGGCTTCATGAAGCGGTCGCCCCGTCCCCCTTTTAGCTTGAGCATCATACACCACGTCGTTTCAAAAGTGAACTTCCTAGTTCAGTCTTCTCGTGACTACACCTCCAAACCGAACTTCGAATCCTCTTCACCAAGCCGCAGTACCCCCGCACGTGCCGAGCCGAGCCCGACACGAGTCTTCGTGCCACGACCGTGTCGATGGTTGGGGGGCCCTGGCCCTACCGATCCCATAGCCACCACCAAACATGGTCAGCAAATGTCTGAGTATTGGTGGTTGGTTTTGACCTACCGATCCCTTGCATGTTTTGAAGCGGCTTGTGGGACTGGAACATTCTCAGCTTTTTCAGGAGCACAGCCCTCCGTCAACGCTTACAGGAAACTATAGTATACCGACGTCAATTGGCAGTGCTTGGACTGCTTGTTCTGCTTGAAAGCACACTGCTTGTTCGCGGGTTCTGCTTGTTCTGCACACTCGCTTGAAGGCATTCAATCCAGTAAGGAAGTCTTCAATCGGATCTGCGCTTCGGCTGAACCTTTTGCCGTGCTATCGAGCGGCGTCGCCAGGGTCTGGCAGATCGAGCCCCACAGATGGTCAAGCTCGCCACAAAGACATGCAATGCTTGAAGGCACTTGTGCCCCAATGTCTGTGACCGAGTTGGGTATGGTCAAGTTCACCAAGCTGCAATACAAACGAACCATACCCAATGTGCGTCACTGAGCAGGGGATGGTCAAGTTACAGCAATGATGCCTTTCAGGGTTGCAATGCCTTTCAGGGTTGCAATTCTTTGGTAAACTTGACTCAAATTTACCAAAGAATTGCAACCCTGAAAGGCATCATTGCTGATAATGGTCAGCAAATTCGGAAGAGTCAAGCTCACCAACGATATGCAATTCTTAAAGGCGCGAGCCCAACGTATAGGTTGCTGAATCCGTGATGGTCAAGATTGCTAAAGATTGGCAGCCCCGAAACACTTGCCCCTATGTAGGTCACTGAGTTCAGGATAGTCAAATTTGGGATGAACACTTTGGCCACTTCGCAGTGATGGAAGGCCCTCTCACCAATTCGTGTTGCATGGCTTGGGATTGCAACCGGCAAGAGCTCCAAGTCAATCTCACTACCAAAGCTGGCAATTGCACCTTTGTTGGAGCATGTCACTGTGTTTGGTTTGAAGACTACACTAACAACAGAATCTGCAAAAAAACGCCCTGTATCCTCCCCGCACGCTCATCATTGCTCAGCAACCTGTCTCCCATAAGAATCTCCACCGCTGTGATTCTGCAAGTAGCCTCATCCCAAAGCTGCTCCTCTTTGATCCCGTCATTTTGGGCGTGATGTGTAAACCAATCAATTCATCATTGAACTGCAGTGCTGAAATTCTCATGGCCATGGCGCAATCACAGGAGTTCTGCACATCAGGGTGCCGTCTGCTAGATTTCCATGCTGATGTTGCTTGCTTTTGGAGTCCTCTCCATATCACAAAAAGTTTCCCTCAGTTGGTTGCTCCAGCTCGCGGCAAATTATAGAATGCCACTGGTGCTGTCTCTCAGTCAAAGCACTGTTTGCATGTTGCAAAAATCCACTGAAGAGATCTTTTTGAAAATAATCCATCTGCTCTCATGACAGCACTGCTCTCCATCTGCAGCGAGTTTCCATCCTATTAGGAGCTGCTTCGCTTTAAAGCTGCTTGGCTTTGAGCGAGCATTGCGATGTAGAACACCAATTTCCCGAACCAAGAGGTTGCCAAACTTCCAAACTGATGAGCTCATGCAACCTGAGCTTGCCAAAGGCTGGAGTTCTCTTAGCACAACTGTTTGAAAGCTTCTGTGCCGCACGGCTATCCCTTGTGCCGCACCTGCAAAGGTTCCAAACGGCACAACTCTGCCTGCCCATGTGAGGTGTGCGCGTCTCATGTCGAGTTTTTTCAGGTCTCATGTCGAGTCATCCTGTTGATACGCAGCCTTTGTCAGAAATGCTTCGTTGGGTGACATGAGGGATACTCAGCTTGCAACAATCAACTGCACAATCGACCTACAAAAATACTAGCTTGCTTTGCAAACCATCGATTTTCCTGAAAGGGACTGAGTCCACATGGCATCCACGCTGGAAAAACCATGGCATTCTTCACCTCAAGTGGTCCTTTTTCCATCAAAAAAAGGCCAAATCTGTCCATGTTTGCAGGCAAAGCTAGATGTCCCACCACACCTCTGCTGAGTTCGACCTCACCAGCATCCGCGGCGGCGAAGGCGGCAGAGGCGGTGGTCCGGCGACAACCGCCGGGGCCTGGGATTTGGCGCAAGACGTGGGTTTATTCACGGTCATTGGTCAAAATAAATCAACTGGTTTTCAAGGGAACATGAGATGTTTGGGATGAAATGAAGTGTCAAGCTTTGACATGTGATGACACTGGCCAAGCACGACAAGCATCGTGAGCTGATTGTTTCAACATGCTCTGGTACCTCTGAGTGAAGACTACGCTTCATCCGAAAGACTACGTTTCATCTCTGTGTAAAGGATTCGCTTTTTAAAAGACTCTTTGTGCTCGCTAAGACTTTACCCGTTTACCATCCATCCCGGAGCCAATACACGGGACCGAGAGTCAATGGATGGGGTGGGAGAAGAACATGTGCTTCTTTGAGTATCAGACATGAACGGTTTGATAGGTATGTACTTTTGTTTGAGAGTTTATTGGATGTGTTTATCTGAAGAAGGCTTCAAAATGACATGGGAGAACCTTCACACGAATTCACCACATCCCTGTGGCCTCCATCTTCTGCGAGTCGCCTGTGATGAGTTCAGCGCCAGCTGGAGGCGCAAGAGACGAATCACAACTGACGCGTTCGAAAAGAGGCGTTCAATCTGGTAGAAAGTTTGATGTACGAATGCGGTCACTCATTTTTTGGTGATTTGACTCCAAAATGGAAGAACGTCCACATTTGATCTGGAGTGCCCACATCAAATCCCTGCACTTGGGTGTATGACATACAAATCTCAATGTTTGCATCGGCCAGGGTACAAAGTCCCATGGCTGGGCTGAGAATGGTGCGACCGACAACCATTGGATGTCTGACTTTTTTGATGTAACTCTTGCTCTTTCAGGGGGAACCCTCTAACTTTAGACGTTAACATCTATTGCTAGAATGAAAGTCCTAGAACTATATAGGCTGAGAATGGTGCTGTCTGACATAGCATCCAAGTACGGTGTATATATATATATATTACAGATTGGCCTAACTGACCTTAAAAGTCTTATGACAGGACCTAAGACTCAGGACAGATTGTCTAACGACAGGTCATCTTTTGAAAAAACAGATTCGTCAACTGTCCGAGTCTTCTGACCAAATTGGGCCAAATCCACGCCTTCGAGTCGGGACCTGGGCATCCTGCCACGTGGCCGAGGTGACATCGACCGAGCGACATGGACCTGGTGGACACCGACCCACCGGGAGGACTCCGCCGTGTCTTCCAAAAACTGGTGGACTTTAAGCGAGTTGGCTCCTGCTGGTTCCACCTGTTTTGGGATTCCACTGTTGATTCGTCGAGAACTGATTCGACTGGGGGTCTCACTGATTCATCGAAGACTCTCCAATGACCTGGTCAGCCTTGTTGTGCACGTCGAACCCGCAGGAGGATTGAAGGTCTAGGGCGGGTTCTGTGTACTGTGGAGATGCCATGCGCTGAATAGGATGGTGCATGATATTGCCATATCTTGCTGTGCTTCATGAGTGCATTGGATCCGATTTCCTCTATTCCTATTTGACGTGCGCACTGTTGAACGTGGATGGCACGATGAAATCGAATCTCATATGTTGCTTTACTTCAGCTCCCGGATCCTAGTCTCTGGTCTGACCATGAGTTCATGAAGCCCAGAAGCAAAGAAGTAGTCATTCTCAGCCCACACAACTGTCCACGGGTCCGCACCGTCCACGCGCCCCCCCCCCACCTGTGGGAACCCGTCCAGGTCCTTCGCACCTGCTACGAACGTGTCTGGGGGATGTGAGCGGCGCCTCCGATCATGGAAATAGCGGCGGGTCGGGCTACGAGCCTAGGGAAGAACCTAGGCAGTCGGATTGGCACCAGGTGCTGGTAGATCCACTGAGGAGGCACATAGACTTGTGACAGCCCCACTTATAAGGGCACCGTAGAAGACCAAAAAAACATGGAGGAGTTGCTGTAACAAATCCAAGAGGGGGCAGGAAACGTAAGTTTCACCAACAGTGAGGTCCACACTCACCACGAGCCTTGGTCCAATTTGCCTTCGGAAAGAGGTGGGTTTGGGTGTCCAACAGTTTCTCTTCTTTGAAGTCTTAACGTCACCCACCTCATTGAGGAAGACTTTTAAAAAAGATGAAAAAAGAACACATCTTCCAATTCGCTCACCCTCAGGAGTGACTCACACCACCACCACCACCACCACCACCAGCATGGTCACCACCCCAGCGACCAGTGAGGAGACCGTCTGAGGCCGTCCGTCTGTCGGCACACGACGGAGGGACCTCTGCCTCAGAGGCCAACTTCATCGCGCGCTTGCGCGCCTGGCCGAGAGGAGGACTCAAAAGAACAGCATCGAAACAGAATGGCTGACACATGTGGGCAGCCTTAGAATTGAGTCCTGGGTCTTCCAGATCTGCAAAAAAGAGATGTCCCTTCTGGGACTTGGAACCTGAGAGTTCCTGATTTTCCGAATCAAGCCCATTCACCCCACTTTTCTGGGTCACTTCGCTGGGATGACCATTGATTCCTAAACCCCCGAGGCCTGAAGATACAAACCCAAAGCGGTGAGTTCCTCACCCAGCTGCTCAAGATGTTATCCGATTTCGCCTCCTCCGCCGAGCTGGGCATCTGATCCCACTCGGACTCCTCCTGCGATCCGCGGATCCACGGATCCGCGGTCCGTCTCCGGACGACTTCGGGCGCCCGTCTCAGCGGGTTCGCCAACGGGGTGAGAACGTGTAACGTCTGGAGGTGGATGGCTGTGTGGTTGCAGAGGTGGTCCACAAGCCTGGGCAGGAAACAAGGGGTCGTGTGTTCTCACCGTGAAGAGATACAAGTGGAAGATGATGGCCTTTTTGCCGGACTAGCTTGAGGTTGTTTTGCTTCTATGTTTCACACACCAGGAAGCAGCAGGAAGAACGTCACGATGTCTGTTTTGACTTCAATGACAACCTCTTGTCGTTGCATGGATCTGTCAAGAACCCACGCACCTTTTAGCTACTCATCTGCTCACCAAGAAACAATCAGACAGCAACCTGAACCTGAACCCTCAAGTCACTTCTTTTACTTCTTTTCTTCACCACGGTCGGTCACCAGCGCCACACGGCGTGGCCCGCGTGGAGCACACGCGGCCTCCTCGGTCTTCCGGCGCTGCCTCGGAGTGGACCCACGGAGTTTGACCCCATCGAAGACCCAATGCGGAACCGGGAACCGGGAACGTTTGGTAAGCATCGCCGTTTTTCTTGTTTTTTGGTTTCTTGAGTTCATGGCAGTTCAAAAGGCATTGGACAAACAAAAGGCATGAGAATGATCCTTGCCATGTCCCATTGACGCCCAACAAGAATTTGGACACTCATCCTTTGGGTGAAACTGGTGAAACTGCTGAAACACTCTTCCTTTTTGGGACTCTCATTCGTTTTTCTTGTCTTTTTTTTCGGAAAGGGATGATTCAAGAAAAAGAGACTGCGCCTATTTGATCGTACTTTGTCGGTTCCTCATTTTGGTTCTCCCCGCCCCTGGGACAGCTCGCTGTCCGCGACTCGCAGACAGCCGCCTGTGGAGGGTCATCATCGCCTTGCGCTCGTGGCGCTTCACCTCGTCGAAGCCGTCCTTGCCTCGTGGACAGCCGCGGACACAGGGATGGACACAGTCGGACACAGTCGGACACGGGATGGAACTCAACGGTGGAGGCTTTGATAGTGGTAGGCCTGGTAGGCCTGGATGTGATGAGAGCTTAAAAAGATTGCGCGTCGAGGGTTGCAGGTGCAGGTTGCTTTGCGGAGGCAAAAAAGATTACGAAGAGCTCGACCAAGAGATCAACCCGAAGAGTTTCGTCTTGTTCTTTCTTGGGGTCTCAAATGAACAAGTCAGAGAACCAGAAACAAGTCCAAGTGTCGGCAGCCTCTGTATAAACCCTGCCCCTTTGCCTGAAAAAAAAAAACATCTCTGTAAATATATATATATATATGATTTAACTAGCAAAACACACACATGACTCATGACACAGTCAAGCTGGAAGTTCCTGGTCTTTTTGGGGGCCAAAAACTACCCAACTCCATGTGACTCCTGGTTTTGTGAATTTTCTTGACTCTTCCTTGCCCCTGATGGCTGAGACGTGGATGAGCGGCATCCCCGAGATGCCGCCGTTGACAAGTAAGACCCGGTTCATCCTGTCTTGCATCCTCGGACTCCCAGTGACACACAGGTCATGGTGGGGCCAGACCTCCAAAAACCACTGTCTGTGACCCCACGCTTTTAGACCCATAGTGCCATAGACGAAGAAAGCATCGAGAAAAGTCAACTCGCTCAGTCACTAGCACCCCCTTCTCCCCCGCCAAAAAGTATCTAAAAAATCCCAAACCATTGTGTGTCCAGTGGCCCATGGCGGCAATCAGCATGGGAATCCGCTGCTTCTCCGGCACATGCTCAGCCTCACAAGGCGGAAAGAGCGACACCGTGGTGCGGAAGAGGTGGAAGAGGTGGGGAGATATCCATGCATTGCATCAGAAATCATCAGAAATCATGGCACACGCCGAGGTGCATGACAGCCAGGTCAACTTTCGTGGATTGTGGTGCTTTGTGCTTTGTGGATCTTGGGGGTGTTCCCCACGCACGCACCGAAGGTGGAACCGATTCCAGAAGGATTGTGACATTGTAGATCTCTTTATCACGCCGCCAGGCCAATGTCTCAAAGAATGCATCACTTGCACCCATGTCCATCACACGGCATTATCAAAACACTGCGATACATACTTTCCGCATCTCCAAAACCATGAAGGGCATTTGCTTCTCGTCTTGCCATACCTGTCCCCATGTCCACCCATCTTACCTCCTCCTTGGTCTCATCAAAGACCAATAGGTACCGCGATTGCCCCCGCGCCTGACCACCGCGAGACGTGGAAAACCTGCCCTGTGGGTCGCCCTCGCCCAGACTGACCCCGTGCAAATTCGAAGAAAAAACAAAGCTGAATTCACTCTTTGGAAAAATGGATGAGAATGGTCTCTTACAAAACTCCTCTGTCTGTTGTGCCACGTGGTTTCTCAAAATTGGTGCATTGGCCTGTCCCAATAAGATCGATAAGGCATGGGGAAGTAAACCGACAGTGTTCGGAACTTGCATTTGTTCAAAGTGGTCGGTGTTTTTTGGGGGTCCATACAGCGGATTCATGCATGTGTCGTGGAAGAAAAAATCCTTGTGCAACGCATCTCACACGACGCCCTCAGGATGTCACGAGGGCTCTTCTAGCACAACCGACAGTTGACATGCTTGCACAATACTGAACTAGGGCAGGACGATCCCCTTCTAAAGGCTCAGTGTATCTCCTGTAACTTGTCTTCATTGGTCTACTTCTTGAAGTCGAGGAAGTAAGACGTTCTAAGTGCCTCCATTTGCAGTGGAGTCGCCCTACAGAGCCGAGTCAGTCGCCCCTCTCGACCGGCTGAGTTTGCTTTGGGGAGTCATCTTCCAAGTTGGGAGTAGCAACAAGGAGCCGAGCCGAGCCTCGTTTTCTTAGAACCTGCCCTGACAGCTGGTTTGTCAGGAGGAACATCCCTGCAAACCAAGTGGAACCTGAAATGGGCTCTGGGTCAAAAAAGGGGGGGGACTGACTCGGACTGACCCATGTTCCATCTTCCCAGGTTCCTCCATGAAGTGGATCGTAACCTACGATGTTTGATGGGAGCTTTGGAGCGTCCACGCCGAACGTGTGGTGGTGGGCTCTGTTCGTGGGATGTGATGTGAGGTAGGGCCGGATCAGGTTAGGTGTTCTTTTCGTGTGAATTCACGCTAATCAAAGGTCATTGAGCTGGATAGGCCCTGTCACATCATTCATGTCCCACATTTTCACAAGCAGACCTGTTCCTTGACACCCCTGTGAGACCCAAATCGAGCAAGAACGCAATGTTTTACAAAGATAGGAATCGAGCCGACTATCAACTCAATTCGCCATCAACTCCGGCTAAATGTTGTATATCGGAAGGACCCGACTAGAAGAGTGCCCCGATGGTCTAGAGGACAACCATGGCCATGCAAAGAGGGTCTTCACAAAAAAGTCGAAAAAAATCGGAAGAGAAGATGTGGTGGTTGAGAAGCCAACCTCTTCGATGCCTAGACCCAACACCAACGCGAGAAGAAACCCTCAGGACAAAAGACGTTTGGTCGGTTTTGCCGCGTTTGGCGGTCGCTTCGACCTCCGGTGATGAGTCATCACCGGTCAGTCAGGTCTGGTGTGCAGTGACAATGATGGGGTGGAGAGGGTGAGGTGATACTATTGAAGAAGAAGGGCTGTGGCATACAGCAGGTAGCAGGTGCTTGAAGCTTGAAGAATCCAAGCTCCAGGTCAGCAAGAATGGGGTCCTCATGATGCTCATGGGTGTTTGGAAGAGTGCGGGCCGCAGGGGGTTCAGGAATCAAGCAGGACAGATCCTTCTAACATCTTCAAGTGCAATCCAGCTTAGCGCAGGTAGAGGTCCCCCAACTGATTCATGTTCTAAACCCAACCGGTGGCTCTAGATGCAAGCTATGATCTGCAGTGCGATATCAGCCATACTGCAACGCCAGTTTTCCTCCTGCCACGCCATTGCTCCTTGCGGAAAACACTTCTGGGATCCACGGTGTTTCGGATACGTGCTGAACTTAGATCTCTCAGGTTCACACGCGCAGCAACTTTGGTTGATGCCACGTACCATCATAAGCCTCCACCTGCCGGTCACCGAGTCGGTCGAGAAATACGTGAAAAACGGATTGCTGCAGTCAAGACGTCAGATTTTGTTGGGTTCCATTGCGGTTCCAACCGGTCGAAACCCGTATTGTCCCAGGTCTCACCCGGCGCAGGGGTCGAAGGGAAGTCCCCACTCAGGAAGAGCTCAACGGACATAGTCTGAGTCTATGGTCCGAAACCGCGAAGCGAGCTGGGCCGAAGGGGGGACCCGCCTTCGCGCGCGAACCTTCGTCGCGCCAGGCGCCTTGGGGAGGTAGAGCCGCAAAACCAAGTAGAAGGGTCCCTTGGGCGCTGGCAGCCAGTTGCTCTCTTCACCGGGCCCCGGCGACTGGGCGCTGATGTGCAAGGTCACCGAGCCGTCCTGGCGCTGATCCGTGGAAAGGGGCCGACTTCTGAGGGGGAGGACCCTGAAGTGGAAGAGTGGTTCACCGGGGTTGGGGGTTGGGAGTGTCATAAGCATATCAGTTGTAATGGGTGTTGGCATCTCAGTCACACCAGGTGTCTTGCCAAGTCAGCGCCTAGCCAGCTTCTTCTTCTGATGGATGAAGGTCTAAGGCTTTGGATCCAGGGTCGCCTTCGTGACGAAGTGTGCATAGCACCCCCTTGCGATCACCAAGTCTTAATTCAGAGTCTCTCTCAGAACAGGGCTGGCCCTGTACAGCAGTTTCCAGAATCGGGCGGGAGGCAGCCGAACTGAAGGGCTTGGGCCCATCTTTTCTTCGTCTTTTGGTGCACCTGCTCCACATGTGCTCCACTTGTGTTCCGAAAAAGAAAAAAAGAAAGCTGCTGATCGAACCACAAGAAATAGATAGAAACATACATACAGGTCCTTTTGGATGGTTGGTATCTCCATAGAAGAGCCACCCCATCGCTTTCCGGACTTGGGAGTTCCGTCTTGCTTTTGACTCGCCGATGTCTCCGTCTCATCCCGCCGATGATTGCGGTCCTCCGCGGTCTTCATCGACGAGAGCATGGGGCTGTTCAACAAGTAACGCTTCAGTGGGTTCTCCGACAGCAGCTGTGTCTTGCCATCATACATGGTCAAGGACCAGAACGACCTCATTACGCGGGCTTTTGTCCCTCTGTGTTTGGCGCAGTTCAATGAGTTGGAGAGATTTTTCTGAAACAGGGCGACTTTGCTATAGAATACCCCAAAAATTGTTGGGTTGAGTGACTAATGTGGAAAGTAGCCACATCCCAACCCGTCATCCCCTGTTACCACCCCCCCTTCCACAACATTTCACCAGGCGCACTTTGCGATCTGTTGATCTTCTTTGCTCAGAACCATTTGGTATGAGCACTTGGAAGCGTCCAGCACCTCCCCATCCTGGGACGGATTGAAACTCAAAGGACTTTCTATCAACCACCCTTTTCGCACCAATGGCTTCTCATGAAATACTCTGAGTGCGGACTTGCAGTGAAACTTTGGGCAAAGGCTTGTGGATGCTTGTGGATATGGACACCGCAGAATGTGTTTGGTCAACTCAGCTCTGTTTGTGCAAGTAACAACATCTACATCGGCTGCAGATCTGATATAAAGATATTGCTTCTTCAGAGAAAACGGCTTCTCACCCTCCCCAACTCTTAAAGGAGCGCACGACAACTGTGCACCGGAAAAAAGGAAGAAAGAAATCAAAAACTCGGGGCGACGCTGCGAAAGGTGCAAGCGGTCCTAAAAAATACAAACACATTGAGTGGCCCATGTTCTAGGCTTCTCTTTGGAAATGGGAATTTCTCGCCCTCTTCTCCGTCTCACCTCACGGATGTCCCATGTGCCAAGCATCTAAGGTCTTGTAGAGTGGATACCTCGGGTGCCCGAAACACATCGGTCCAGAACATGCGAATTCAGCAGATCGTGGTGAGATCGTCGCCTCACACACGATCGTGGTGTCTGTTTCCCCCACACGCAATTCTTCCGGATCCTTTCGGATCCTTCCGTCCAGGAAACACGCTTTTGTCCAAACCAAGGATCTGGTCAACACATCCTTCCGTCGATACTTCATCTCTCGTGAAAAAAGAACAAAACTCAATCTGTCAGCTCCTCTCCCTTGTTCCTCCACTGGAAACCTTTCGGGAGACATTACATCCCTTCCCTTCCCTGGCTCCAAGATACATGGCCTCCTCCCTGGAGTTCCCGTAGATCCCCAGCTTCGCACCTGCCCATCGCTCGGTCCGACGGTCGGGGTCCTTTCTTCAAAAGACTCGGCCTCAAAGACTCGGCCGGTTCCTGAAAAGTCAAGTTCAAAGCCTCATCAAGTTCTGAAAAAAATGTAAAAAAGAAAAAACTTTCACGACTACAACATGAAGACATGTTGAAAAAGAAACAAAAAAAACACGGAAAGCCTTCCCCGTTCGGCCTCCAAAGCGTCGGATGTACTCATTCTTCAAGAACTCCCGGGTGCCAAAGAGGTCCCCGCTGGTCATCCGGCCCTGTGCGAAGCCCTTCTCGATGACCTGCGGATGAGGAACACCGGACAGTTCACCAACACAGCAAAAACGTGCGACCCGTGTATGACGCTCATCATCTCTTCATCCTCTCAACCCCCCAAGTCACGACTCTGCCAACCCTCAACTCCACTCTCGAGACTCTTGCTGCACCCCTCACCCCTCACCCCTCACCCCTCCTCCTCGTACTCAGCCCATCCATCCTTCATCCCCAGCTCCAGCGCGCTCTGCAACTCGGGCGAGCTGGTCTTCAGCTGGAAGCTTCCGGTGCCCAAGCCCAGCTTCAGGAGGCGTTGCCGGAGCACCATCTCACTGCCATGCAACGGCAAGAGACTCAAAAGGAAGTCGAGAATCTCGAACCTCGGAGGGTGCTGTTTAGTCCTTGAGACGGTGACCGGTTTGAGGAGGTGACCTGATACCAGCCGGCCATGGTACAAGAAGGTGTGGATGTGAACTCCTTGTTGCACATGTATCTATGATATAACATCAATAAATATTCATATAGTAATATGGTCGTGTCTTGTAAACGCCTAGATATGTGACAGTAAACAAAATGTGTTGTTCCAGCTGTCATAGTGAAACCACACCATGTCAATTGACGGACTTTTTGTTGTGACCTTTTGGATGAGCCCTTCAAAGTCTTCAAATCTGACCTTCCTGTAATGCCAGTTATGACCCCTAGTCACCAGGGCCAAACTGGGGCGGTCCAAAACTTCAGCCGAAGCCAAGGGCCAAAATGAACCGGACCGAAACCGATCTTGAACAGCAAGGCATCAACTTCTCTCGACTCAAAAAAGACCCACATGGAGGTCCGGCCCAACGACACGAGGTGGTCCCAGGTGCATCTGCGTCGTCATGATCATGGCCTTGTCAGTCTTGGGCCATGCGACTGGTTTCGCTGGACTGGGACTCGGCTTCCCCAACGCTTGGCTGAGGGTGGCCACCTGGCTTCTAACCAGGCTGGTGCAGCCCTCGAAGTGTGACTGCAAATGTGCCAGCGAGTCTAGCTGAGTTGGGGGAAACAAGACTTGTGTATAGATCAGTTCTTCTAAGACTGCTTCAAAACGATGAAATGTCCTAGACCAGAACCTCGATCTTTGTCAGGTTCCTTCAGGTTCCTTCAGCTTCGCCATGTGCTCACGTTCGTTCGATCGGCCGGTAGGCCGGCTTGGCCTTGTAGCCCTTCTGAATCTCCTTCACCCGATCCAGGTCATCAGGGCCCTGCAGCGGGGAACTCGCTGCGTCGCGTCGCAGGTGATCAACCGAGCCATCAAGACGTCGGGTGTTTTTGGTCCACGGAACCGTCAAGCCTTCAACACGTATCGAAGAATTCCAAGCTATTGATATTAAGGCTGTGAAGTCCTTTAAAGGCCATCTAGGATGTTTTTGCTGTAGAATCCTTCTTAAAGTCCAAGTGTGGTTCATGCTTTTCGCATGAAGTCTGATGGACACATCCCATATATCTCTTCCTCTCTTCGCCTTCAGCTGTGTCCGCACCACCGCCAGCGCAAAGGGCGTCTCGCACGCGATGCTCCGATCCACTTTCAGCGGCGCAGAGGCTCCGCTGTAGCCGCCGTCCGTCCAGCCCGGGCCGGTGATCATGAAGCTGCCACCTGTTGACGTGAGCTGGGGCACTGGTTGGAACTGTACACGTTGTGGTTGCAGAACCTATAATCAAAGCACCACTGCAGTGGCCACTGCAGCGACAATAATCCAACTCCCGTTCTCTTTTTGGTCAGAACTGCCTCGGTTTCCAGTGCAGCGCGTTCCCAGGTAGGCAAAATTGTGCGTGTAAAGGTCCACGAGCTGGACGGAATAGTAGCGATCCTCCTGGCGACGTGGACGTTCTCCGCTTCGTCTGGTCACTCGTTCGCTCGCTCGCTGGAACGCGTTCCGACCGGGTTCTCCACTCGATTCGTTCGGTGTGGAGAGAGCCGATATGGGTTCTGTAGGGTACTGGCATGGCCGGCCATCCCGGGATCCACCAGGGTTTGCACTCAAACTTTCTCTGATGGTTCCAAGTGCTAGGTTGCCACGCTCAGAGCAGCCTATATATATATACATATAAGTATATGCTGCTTTCCGCGATGGCCTGAGACTCCAGCAACGTCGCTTCTCACCACACTTGATATGGTTGGTAATCCATGTTTTGGTCATCGCCAAGTTTAAGGGCCCTGGTCTTGCTCTACATCTTCCTTTTCGGTTTGACCGCACGCCTCCACGGCTGGCAGGGTGACGACCACCGGCTCGGCGCGGAGGTCCATCCAAAGCCAACCTCCGAGGGAACCGAAGCTCAGCGAAGCCGAGGACAGCCCCAGCCCACCACTAAGGGATGTCCTTGAAGGTGCCACCCCTTGAAGGTCCAGGTATGATAGTGGAATATTCAGGATAACCAAGTCGAATTTCAAGGTAGTTGCGCAAGGTCATATCCTAGCATAGGATTGGTAAACTTCATGTGCACCTGACATGATTCACTATTCCAGAAGCCTCTGACTCCTTGACTCCTCGACTCCGCAGCTTTTGTTGAAAAGAAGGAAGCGCTCCATATCGCTCCATGAATCCTCCCGACCCGCCAAAAGCCACGGTGCTGTAAGGTGTATCGCTGTTGGGGGTGATGACCGCTGTGTCCTCCGGTGTGAAGACTTGGGCCACATTGAAGATCTCATTGAAGGGCGCCTTCAACTCTACTGGAACAGCAGAGGCAGGTGGAGGTGGTTGGGGTGTGAAGCCCAGGTGAGGTGAAAGGAAGAAAGAGCGCGACTAGGGGGGACTAGGGCCTAGGTCGCTGACCCGGCGGGGTGGCGCTCTCCGGTCTCTTCGTTCAACGGACTAAGAAAAGAAGCAGCAGCATCTCTGAGAAAGTAGAGTCTAGCCTTCTGATAAGTGTCCCACATCATGTTGATTCCAAGAAGGTCACTGGGCGTGTTAGCCAGTTGTCACAGCACACAGCGCTCCGGGGCACAAACGATGGAGAACCGGTGAGAACCAAGTTCACCCAAGTCCCAAATGAGCATCAAACATGGCAAAAGCTGGATCGAAAAATGTGGGACAACAAAGCCGACCCATCTGTCTGATCCATCGTCCAGCCGCCGTTTCTGATAAGACTGTTGAAGTCCTCCACGCCTTGTAGTCCTTGTGTGTCTTGTCAAGACAGTAGGCCTAGGCCCCAAAAGACGCTGAGTGCGTGTTCGCTCGTCACGCAAACTGTTTGAGAGGAGCGTGGTTCCACAACACGACGCATAAAGGGAAGCTCATCGACCAAGTCACTTCACCTCCTGTGAATTCATTGGGTAGTCGCATTAGAACCAACTATCAGGTCACATGCGGCAAGAGTTGGGAGTGGCCATACAACCTAAGAACTCGATCTTCAATTGACACGTCTTGCAGCTCCCATGCTCCAACGAATGGTTGTTTCCGAGACTGGCCTGAAGGCCACCAAGGTGAGGAGGTGGGGAGACTGAACTCACAAACATCTCTGGCACTTTCATGCACTGTCCAACCAAGAGGATCAAGAATGATCAGAGCTCAGCGTGTGTCCTGAGGAGAAATCATGCGACTGATGGCTCGAATCACCCGCCAGCATTCCGAATGGCTGCTCCAAACCATGCATCCTTCTGATTTGGAAGGATTCCCAGCCTTAAAAAAGAAAGATGGGAAAGATGTCAACAGTGTAGTTTTGCGAGTGAAGTTATTCGTGGGCTATGTGGTTTCCTACCATTGTATATAGTTGTCTCATTCTCCAAGAGGCATAGAGCACATTGTAGTTCTCACACAGCGGCCATCCATAAATCAGCGCCTCTTTGGCGATGCCCCGCATCTCTTCCGCTGACATGTCGCTCATGGTCGCGCATGGAAGCAAAATGACAAGTACTTGTCCTGTGATGTTGAGGACGTGTATGTCACCCGCGTTTACCCTCGGTATGTTCTGGAAACAAGTGGTTTTCCACTTCGAGTGTACTTGATCTGAATCATTTGGAGACAGGAGACGCGTTGAAAGCCCGGAGACCTGCCATGCCTTCTTCCTGGATAAGTAGGGCCTTATCAGTGGTCTTAGAAAATTGGAGCGTCTCATGCTTGTCAGGTGCTCAAGCCGAAAACGCTGTTGAACATGTGCAAATCAGGTGGGCCTGGGTGAGGTCACCTGCGCCAAGACTGCTCACTAGCCCAAACCACCTGATAGACTCAAACAGCGCGACGGTGACTGCAGCATCTGAGGTATTTCTCCTCTATCAACAAGATCGCCTCGATTATATACTGATCCCGTGTGCGCTCTGCACTAGTTGTGGATTGCCATAGGGAGGAGAATCTAGCGAACCTGAAATCCTCTTCTATTTCGTACCAAACATCGTAGGCAGTGTTTGGTCTCAGCGCAGCTTCATCCCCATGAATGTTCTTGACGGCATTTGGAGTCGGTGAGGACAACAGATTCGAAGTCGGTCATTGGATGTCGGGCAGGTCCTAAACCTGCTTCAGGCTAGCTCGTTCAAGGCAATATTGGGTCCAAACTATTACCAGTGCCCATCATCATACTGAGTCATACTGCAGATGGCCCCCCCCAAACTGAGTCACCGCTCCTCCTCCCACCAGGACCCTTCAAACCTCAGCTAGGGAGAAAACACCGAAGGCCCCTGGCGACCCCCCACGCGCTGCGCCTCTCCGAGCCCCAGCGTGGCCCAGGTGCCATCGGTCGGGACCTCGGGCGCACGCCATCGGCGCGGAAGCTGCGGGAGGAGGGCACTTGGTCACTTGGTGTAAAATAAAAGGCCTGGAACCATCAAACCAGGAGGTTTGAGGGAGGTGTTTGGGGGGGAGGAGGTCAAACTCAAAACTGTGGGAATCCGTGTGTGTGGGATCCATGGCATGTGAGAAAACACAACGTTCAAATCTTAGTTCGGAAGCTCATGAGAACCTGAGCAAACCACCCCCTCACCGTCCACCCCCACCTCACCTCCATCCACTCCATCACCTCCAGCTCACCTCCATCACCCACTCCTCGCTGTCCGCCCAGCGGCTCCTCCCGAACCACCCAGCAGGCGCGAGAACTCCAAAACCTCCACCTCCTCCGGCGCCACACGAAGTGATCCGGAAGGCAACGAGGTGATCTGGGAGTTTCAGCTAAGACCATGACGTCAGAACAAGCAAAGATGAAGCTCCACGGGGGGATTCGGGGGCTGGAAGGGATACAAGGTCCCCAGAAATTCTCCAAGCTAGCCTCCAGGACCCCCACATCAACACTGCCACCCAAACCCAAGGTGTTCCCCATCTGCGCCTCATCAAAGGCCACGGACTTCTGCCTGCGCCGGCAAGTTGGGCGCGGCGTAAACGCATGTGTGGGACTTGGTCGGTTTGAGACCCACGGGTCCGACGGTCCGGTGGTGGACCAGAGGTGGGGTGCGAGTTCAAAGGCTCCAAATGAGGATCTGCACAGGGTGATCCAGTTCCATCCGTTCACTCCCCAGTGTGAAGGCTAAGCAATGGAGAAGAACGGATGGATTGTGACCTACTACGGCATGCGAGTGCCACAGATACTCCAAAATGGTCCAAACCATTGGACATCAAATTTAACAGCAGTGTTCACCGCCCTTTTTTGAAGTTGGTCAAAGCAACACTGATGTGAGCCTGACCCCAGCTGTAGTTCCTTCATAATGTTCAAACCTAGATTCCATGGCGTTCAGTGGCAGGTCTACCCTCGAAGGTTATGGCCTACAATGGGCTATGGGGCTTTTCTTCAGCCTTGGCCAGGCATTGCGGGGAAAAGGAGTCAACCCATACCATGCATGCGGGACTCAGCATGACCGTAACTTGCGAACATCGGGTCCGGCTTCACATGTGTCAGGGCTTAAATACCGTCTGAATCCATTGTTTATACAAAGGATTCAATGATTCTGGGTCTTGGGCCTTCTCTACATCTGTTTGGCCATTTGGTCCATTGGTAGCCTCTGGCCGCTTCCAATCAAGGAAGGTGCTTGCGGAGATGCCTCGTGTAGTGTGTTCAAACCCGACCACGCCGACGTTTCGGCTCGTGTTTCCCTCGTTTCGGCTGATTCCCCGCCGATGCTTAGCTCCTCTCGCTCGGCCCTCGCCCTGACCGGGTGCGCGTAGCTGACCCGCTGGAGGGCAGAGTGAGAAGCCCAGCCCGGTGGAGATTGGAGACATCCAGAGATCTGTGAAGCAAATTCGATCACATGGGCATTGGATACACCGACGTCCTCCAACTCAGTCCCTTTGGGATCGATCGGCTTTCGGCTTCACGGCTTTCGGCTTCGCAGCTTGGATGGAGGAAAGTCTCATCAAGGCAGCATTAGATACTGGTGTTCCCTGCAAAAGGTGGTGGTTCTTTGCCTAAGATGATGCAAACTTCCTTGCCATACAGAATCTACCAAAAGAGAAGCTGGTTGTCTCAATCTCAAATATCTATATGTACCGATGTGCAAATGTCAAACTTACTCTCTTTCTCTCAATGGGTTCATTTATGTAGTGACAAGGATATACCAGTTCTACAACAGATTCGTCCCTCGTTGCAAGTCCCATTCCCGACAATCATTCAGAACCATTTCATTCACCTTTAAACCTACCTGCTTTAAGCTTTTCAGGAAAAAGTTAGCCCTAACTCTGTCCATGTAAAAACCATGGAGGTCCAAGAAAAGCTAGACTAAACTAACTAGAGCTAAGAAAAGCTAAAGAAAGCTAAAAAAAGTCTGAAGCCATCAAACCACCAAGCATCAGACCAGCAGACCATCAAACAGATACATAAATCAGATCAAACATGCACAAATCATCAAACACACAACACAGCAAGTGTGAACTGCAGTGTGGGAAACTACATTGTGAGAAGTGACACCCCACACCTTTCTGGTATGTAAGTGGGTTTGGTTGGCACAGCTTAGACACCAGCTTGCAGTGAACTCTAGAAGTTGTACCACTATCTTCTCATACAGTATTGGTCCCTGCTCCCTGGATGGAGTTCACCATGGCACAAACACAGGTTAGTTGGGTTGAAATGTGATGAACACAGACTGAACCATGAGTGAGTAAAGCCACCCCAGTGGTGAGTGAAGGTGTGTTCACATGGAGAGGCCAGCCATGTGTTGACATGACAGTAGGGGTTCTGATGGGACCCCTATTAGCCCCACCCATCATCCCCTTCTCAAAGCGCACAGCTAACCATTTTGCACACTCTGGGATGGAAATCACATCTCAGTCAATGGAAGCCACTCATACCCCTACAGCCTCCCTACAGCCTCCCTTTCCGATTAGGTCATAATAGGTGATAGGGACCAACCCACACACAAAGGCATGAAATGCGGCTTGAAAACAAGTCGATGCACGCGTGCAAAGTTAGTAGACCAGTTCCTTGCTTGGCCCAACTCTTGCCTTTCATCTACTGTAAGTTCTGGGTCAAAACAGAGATCTTCTGACAAAAGGGACCATAGAGCCAGGCAAACCAATCCCCCCTCGCTACACCTCACGAAGGCAGGAGCTGGGCATCGACGATGCGGCGAATCACACTGGGATGATGTCGTCAAAAAGCGTGGCGCTGTCGCTGTGCAGTTTCTAAGACAGTTGGAGCTTTCTTCGAGTAAAGAATTAGAGATCCGGAGATTGTCAGGTGCTGGTGGTTTTGATGCTGATAAAGAAGAAGCAGGTTTGCAACCCGGTCTGGTAGCCGCAGCTACTTTGAGTTTTGAGGACTTCATGCGAAATCTGATGTCTTTGTTCTTTTTGACATAAAGCAAAGTTGGTGAAAACCTCTCCCCCAGCGGAGCTGATGAATATCAGAGGCTTTGAAGTCTGCAAGCTGCCTACATCAATGAGCTTGCAATCCTAGCGCCAGAAGGGCAGGATAAGAGTAGGTGATCAAAACCCCTCACTGAGCCTCGTCCTAAGTGGCAGGTCCTTGAACAAACAAGGCGTTATCTGCTTGTCTCCTTTGACTCCATGTGATGTGGAAAACTTTGAGCCCAACGAAGAGGGTCATTACAATCTGAAATCCAGTCAGCAACAAAATCACACACGCACATCAAACGTTCATCAATCCTGCATTTTGATAAGGCTGGCAGTTGAACTTCTGGACACATAGGATCCAAATCTCCCACCTCCCGGTGCATGTCCACATAGTGCGCTCCTTTCCTTCATCTTCAGCCTTTTCTTCACTCTCGCAGACCTTTTCAAGGAGTTAAGCAGACCTGTGGGTGGGACCGTGGCTTTGCCAGAACCTCCCAGACTCCGGGTCAGTGTCACTTCAACGAGCCATTCAATGGCCGATTTCGGGTCTATTTGGCCTGGGATGATCTAGGTCCTAGGTAGTTCAAGGCTGGTAGGAAAAACACACATCATCTTTTTACCCTCTTGACTCTTGTCGGTAGCTTGCTCGCCATATACCATTTCAGTCACTGGCTGTGTGGCTGACATGAAGAAAGCCTGAGTGGCTGAGTGGCTGACAGGAAGAAATGTCTGAGTGGCTGAGAGAAAGACAAGCCTGAGTGGCAAAGTGGCTGACAGGAAGAAAAGTCTAAGTGGTTGAGTGGCTGATTGGAAGGAAAGCCTGAGTGGCTGACAGCAAGAAAAGCGTGAGTAGCTGAGTGGCTGGTGCCGAGTGGCTGGGTAGAGGTAGTAGTAGCAATAGTAGTAGTAGTAGTAGTAGTAGTAGTAGTGATAGTCGTAGTAGTAGTCGTCGTCGTTGTAGTAGTAGTAGTAGGAGGAGTAGGAGTAGGAGAAGGAGTAGTAATAGGAGTAGCAGTAGCAGTAGCAGTAGCAGCAGCAAGAGCAGTAGCAGTAACAGTAGCAGAAGCAGTAGCAGCAGCAGCAGCAGTAGTAGCAGTAGTGGCAGTTTAGTAGTAATAGTAGTAGTAGTAGAAGTAGTAGTAGTAGTAGTA